CAAGACTGTCCAAGCACAATATATAAAAGATACTTTTGTCTTTTTTGGAGAGGTAATCTGCTATGATAAATAAATACAGGAGGGCAGTAAAACATGGAACGCACTGGTTAGGATTACACGTGCCTGGGAGTGAGTAATGAGATTGCAATTTGATCAATAGGTTCTGATATCAAAAAACACAAACGTGAAGCTCCAATTAACTGAGACATCTTTTGCACTCAGAGAATAACTATAAAATATTTTACTTCATTCCCACTGCTTCTGATATGCTTTATGGGGGTAAGTAATAGAAAATCCCTAATGGATGATTAAAATCCCTAATGGATGATTTCAGCGCCTTGGGACGTCCTCCTGACGTGAAAGGCGCTCTATAAACGCAATCTTGTTGTTGTTAATGTGATGCTGAAATCTTGAGGACTGAGCTTCAACACACACTTAAGTACACACGTGCCTATTTACAAACAATGAATCTCGAAAAGCGATTCACCCAAAAGTAGGCAGCGCTGAGCTGGGTAGAGAAAGGGGAATTTAAAGCCAATAATAATAATCCTTGCATTTGATATAGAGCCTGGTCACGTCTTCAAGACATCTCAAAGCGCTTCACAGAATATATTGTAAAGTGAACTGACTATGGGCAGAATGCAGCAGCCAATTGTGCACAGCAATGTCCCATTCAGTCGTGGATTGAGTGACCAAATAATTATTATTATTTTTTGAAGAGATTATTATTCCCAGAAAAGCAATCCGCCAATTGAATAACAATCGAGTTCCTGCTTACTGCGCAGGAAACTTGCCTACGGTTTTGTCCTGACCTGCCTGGAAATCGAACCCAGGTTTGCGAGGCGAGTGCTCTAACCACTACGCTATAGAACTCCTCAATCCAAACCCAAGGCACAATCAAGTGGGTTTGAAGGCAAATGGCAGGTAATGGAGAAGGCAAAGACATTTTGAAAGAAAGTTCGAGAGAGTGGAGAGTTAGCGGCTGTAGGATTAGCCACAGACAGTAAATCAGAGGAAGTGAGGAACGAGCAATAACACCAACAAACAGCACTTATATCGTGTGTTTCCCATAGAATAAGCATCTCAAAGTGCTCATTACTGATTGGCGCATCGCTTTTCCTAGGATAATAATTCCTTTTTAAAAAAAATTGGCCACTCAATCCACAACTAATTGTGGGACTTTGCTGTGTGCCTGCCTCTTTTTGCCCACAAAGTATACAGTCAATTCACTTTACAGTATATCCTGTGAAGCGCTTTGAGACGTTTTGGAAGACGTGATAAGGCGCTATATCAAATGGAAGTATTTTTATTATTATTGCTCCTGAATGTGGTAGCGTAATTCATAACATTTTGGAGTAGAGCAAAATTATATTTTAAAGGGAAAACACTTTGACCTCCTCTTTCTCCCCCCTCACACACATTATCTAGCGGTCAGGTTCTGCAGTGCCACGTTAGGAAGCTTAGAAATAGTGGACACAACTTCTACCAACAGAAACTCATGCAGATAATCTCAGCAATAAAAATGAAAAAATGATGTCTGGGAAGGTGGCTCAAGGGAATAGAACACTGGGGAGATTGTACATGATGTCAAACGAGTTACAGCCTTGAACAAACTCCCCGCCATCTGTTGTTTTCTTTGTACTACAGTGAGATTCGGAGCTGAAATATCACATCAGTTGGACAGGCTGAAATTGCCATGAAAAACAACGCAATCTTTGTGGTTTGGATAATCCCTCTTCTCTCCCGGGAACTAAGTGCCTGTAAGGGGGATAAACTAGACTTCAAAACACAGCTCAGCTTCCCTGGCCCCTCCCGGTTTACTTCCTGGATTGTGCTGAGTTAGCTGATCTCAATTGGGAGGCAGGAAGGGGTGCTACAATTATTACCATCCCTTCGAGTTAGGGAGGAAGTCAGCCAGTTTGTGTCCCCAGTTGCTGTCCAGGATCACACCTCTGACAATGGAGCAATCTTCCTGCACTGCCTCAGCATGTAGCTCCAGTCTCCCAACCCCAACATATGAATATAAGAATTGCTAGACGAAAGAAGCACAACAACAACTTGCATTTATACCGCTCCCTTCATGTGGGGTAGAGTCCAAGAAAGCTTCACAGTGGCGGAGTCGGGAGGTGACCAAAAGTACGATCAAAAAGGTCTTTAGGTGGGATTTGAAGCTGGGGAGGGAAGGTGCAAGGCAGAAGATTGAGGGAGAGAGTTCCAGAGCTTTGGGGCATAGTGGCTGAAGGCACGAGGGACAAATAGCAGGCCAGAGCCAGTTGAGTGAAGACAGCAGGCGGTGGAATGGGAGGTAAGGCCACGGTCCATCTAATTCGCCTTCCACCATCCTTACCCTCCCCCTTCATTCGCAGGCTGTGTCCTCTAGTTCTACTGTTCAGTATAAGATAAAATAAACCAACATATGACTTAAATCCACAACCTTCTGCCCCAGCGATGAGATTACTTAGAATTGAGCCAAGCAAGAGAGTCTTTCTTTAAACCAAGTCATGTTGGAAATGGCATGCAGTACATACTCAAACCTCTGATCACTCTCTCTTTGAAGTGCGTGTTATCAGCATTTTCTAGCTCCGCCAAATAATTTCCATGGCAATGGTCATCCTAGCAAGGTCTCAATTTGTTGCCATGAATGGCTTGACTCAGGCAATGAGCTGGTAAAATGGGATCTGGGGTTATTCAGATGTTACTTCACATCTCTTCCAAATATGAATGGGATGACAACAAAGAAACAAACAACTGTGTAATTAAAACCGCTATTGAAATTAAGCAGAGTTGAATAATGAAAGAAAAGGAGCTGGTTTGCCAATAAATATAATGCTTGGATTGCCATTATTAAGAAACTGCGGTCAAGGGAAGCTAATTCTTTAAGCTTCCCCCCGCATTGGCTGACATATTTGGTTTGGATCAGGGATTGTATACAAGGGAAATTTAGAGCCCAATATTTATTGTAAAACTGGTAAATCAACTGTACTTTAGCAGAGCCTATATCCGGAAATAAATTAAGCAGTAGTTTCTGAAAGAGAAAAATAAGCATTTTGGTTATAGCACAATCTCCAGGTGAGGCATTAAACCAAGTTCAACCTCCTTCTTCCTCCTGTTCAGGTGGGCATTAAAGAGCCCACAGCACTATTCAAAAAGAGAAGGGAGTTTCTCTCTGCTAGTGTCCTGGCCAACAATCCCTCAAACAAAACTGTAGATAAAATTCACATCAGTTTTTTGTGGGACACTGCTTTGGGCAAATTGGCTGCCACAAATTCACAGTCAATCCACTTTACAGTATTTCCTGTGAAGCACTTTGAGACGTCTTGACAATGTGTTAAGGCGCTGTACCAAATGTAATTTTGTTGTTGTTGACAGAATATTCTGGGAAGTGCTTTGAGATGATGAGGCGCTATATCAAATGCAAGGACTATTATTATTATATTTTTGTGGGAGGCACAAAGGTGGACCATGTGGGAGCTGAAGTACCAAACAATTGAAGTCACAGAATGGACCACGTGTCACTGAATGTCTACAAATGTTAATTAATTAAACCCATTCAAAATGTCTTGGCACATCCAAGTCAGTAATCCCAAACTAGTCGGAAGCACTAACAACACAAAAGAGTATTAATCATTTCCCTTTGTAAAAGTGGAGTGAGCTACTCACGAGATGACGCCCAGTTTAGAATAGTTAAAAGCACATCTTAATATAGAGTAATGCAAACACACTATTCCTAGGGGAGAGATAGGAATACATAACTACTCTAGTATATCTCCCCCAGCCCCAGGATCTCTTACATTTCCATGCCCCTGTTTACCTAGCAGTAAGTAGGAACCCGGTTGTTAATTGATTTGTGGATCACTTTCCGGGGTAATAATCCCTTAAAATTGGTCACTCAATCCACAATTGTTTATAGGTCAGTTGGCTGCCGCGTTTCACCCACAAAATATACAGTCAATTCACTTTATCGCATATTCTGTGAAGTGCTTTGAGACGTCTCGAAGACGCGATAAGGCTCTATAAGGCGTGGAGTCCTGTAGCTCAGTGGTTAGAGCACTCGCTTTGCAAGCGAGAGACCTGAGTTCAATTCCAGGCAGGGCGAAACCTCGGGCAAGTTTCCTTACTCCACACGCCTAATAATAATCCCTCCAAAAAACCAAAAACAATAATTAAATTGGTCATTTTCAATCTACGATTGTTTGTGGGACATTGCTGTGCGCAATTGGCTGCCGCGTTCGCCCACAAATATACAGTCAATTCACTTTACAGTGTGTTCTGTGAAGCGCTTTGGGACGTCCTCCTGACGTGAAAAGCGCTATATCAAATGCAAGGATTATTATTATTATTATTATTATATCAAATGTAAGTATTATTTATCTTAATACACGGCTGAAGTTATGATCTTGCAAATACTATCGAGAGAAGCAAACCTGGTCAGCTCCTGTGGGAGTGGATTCAGAGCACCACAAAGCAGCTAGTTTTTAGCTGAACAAAGAGGCGCTCATTTTCCCACTTTTCTTTATTGAAAGGGATAGTGTGTGGTTTGGCAAGGGAGGTGGGGAGGCAACTCTGTAGCAGCAGAGCACTGAATACACAACCAGCAGATCACAAGCTGTAATATCAGCCTCGAGCATCTTTGAGCTCAGTCACACTCATTCAGCAGGTTGAGCCAGTTCATTTTCTGGGTGGTTAGAACAGCAAGCACTGTGTGTGTGTATAGAGGATATCACCGTGGGAATGTGGTAGAAACAAGATGATTTTACGCACAAACACATGTACGTCTTCTATCACTATTATTCTGCAACTGATTGAAAATCATGGTGTAATAGTGGAAAATATAGTAAAAAATGAGGTGGCTCAGTAGGTGAAAACACCCACTGCTTCACAACAACTTGCACTTCTGTTTTTTGTTGCACTTATATGGGTTTTGCAGCCCCTGGACTTCTGGTTTTGTCGAAAGTGAAAGAGAGCGTGAAGGAGACTGATCTGGCATTGCATTTACATACCTGGTTAAGTCTCAAGTTGTTTTATTTCCAGTTCAAATTCATGGCTTGAGATTCCACATACAGCAAGAACTTCAAACAAAGTTACACATGCTCACACCTCCTGGGAAGAGAGAGGAAAAATAAAGGAAATAGTTGATGACCAAAGTTATGTAATTATATGCCACTTTTTTAAAAAAAAATCATGAATCACTTTTACTCTTGAATTTGAGGCACACATCTGTGTAAAACATTGAATGCTAATGCAACTTTTTTTTAAAATAAATTGTTATTCAAAACATAGAAGAGAAGTTATAGTATTAGCTTTTGAATAAATGGTACCTGTATATTTGATACAGCGCCTTATCACGTCTTCGAGACGTCTCAAAGCGCTTCACAGAATACGCTGTCAAGTGAACTGACAGTATATTTTGTGGGCGAAATGAGTGCAAGTAGACATAGAGGGGCTTGCAGTTACAAACTGCCTGTGGCACGCTGATGTGCCAGCTGGAAGGGAAAGAACGAAAGGGTATATCGCTCTGGGCAGCTCAAATGCAATCTCCTCTGCTGTCAGCAGGCAGTTCTCTGGCAGCGCCTGAGAACAAGTTGGCTGCCTGCTCATTCTCTTAATGGACAGTCGATGCAAGTGTCCAGGATTTTTTGTTTGTTTGTTTGGCACATACAGAAACCCATCACCATGTAAAGAATCTCCAAGTTAAAATAACTAGAGTGCTATACTTCATTGAATATCAAGACATCATCATCAAGATATTGTATCCGCCATAACTGCAAAAGAAGCAATTCAACTCCCACCAGCTTCTAGAAAAATAATAAAAGGCTGTTCGGCCACCATTTCACCTCATGGCAGTTCAGTAAACCCATTTCCACTGTGACCCACAGACCCATCTGTCTCCCTTTTAATCCTACAATTCATTCTGTATCTATGCCCTTAAAAAGCCAGTGCGTTTCAGATTTTCAGCTTAGTGTGAAGAAATGTCCTCTGGATTTCATTTGAACTGGATTACCTCAAATTTTCTCATTTGAAGATTACATCCCCTTTTTCGGAATTCCTTCACCAGAGGGAACACTATTTTCATATATACTTTATCAATTTCCTTTATATTTAACCCACCCTCCCCCCCAAACTGACATCTCCTCTGCTTTAGGAAATAAAGCGCACATTTAGTCAGCCTTTCATCAAAGTCAAGTCCCTTTATGCCAGATACGATCCTAGTGAATCATAGCTGGACCTACTCCAAGTCCAGTATATCCTTTCCTAAGGTGCGGCTCCCAAGGCTAAACTTCAGATGAAGTCAGAGCCATGCTCTATAACCATCGTACTGTACTTCCTTGTTTTATATTTTAGATAATCATGATAAAACCTGGCACCCATTGGAAATAAAGTTTCACAATAATAATCCTTATGTTTTATACAACGCCTGATTAAATCAGTCAGACGCCTCAAAACACCACAGAAAATAATGTGAAGTGAATTGGCTGTGTACTTTGTGGGTGAAATGCAACAACCAATGGCGGACACCAATGGCGTTGTATAAAACGTAAGGATTATTATTGTGACTTTATTTCCAATGGGTGCCAGGTTTTATCATGATTATCTAAAATATAAAACAAGGAAGTACAGTACTACATTTATAGAGCATGGCTCTGACTTCATCTGAAGTTTAGCCTTCTGTCTTTGACCTTTAGCCTTTCTCTTTGACCGTGCCTTCAGCTCCCCTCTCGACTCTCTACCCCCTCCTCGCTCCCTCCCCTCACCCTGACCATTTTCCCCTTGCTCGGGTCCTGACCCAACTGTACAGCGCCTTGGGACGTCCTCCCGACGTGAAAGGCGCTCAATAAATGGAATCTTGTTGTTGTTGTGTCCCCACAAACAGTCGTGGATTGAATGACCAAATTATTATGATTAGCCAATCGAGTTCCTACTTACTGCTGGTAACCTGAGGTGTGTGGAGTAAGGAAACCTGCCTAAGGTTTCACCCGGCCCGGGAATCAAACCCAGGTCCTCTTGCTTGTGAGGCGAGTGCTCTAACCACTACGCTACAGGTAATGTACTATAGGGAAAACAATGACACTCAAGACAAAACACTTGCAATGTTGTGCCATACAAATTTCTGAGATACTAACTTAGGCTCTTACAATCTTTACTAAAATGTGATGTAATGCAGCTGAAAATGCTCTCTCTCTCCACAGACACATTTGGAAGGACATAACTATAATTGTGCTACTGGGTGTTTCCATAGATCAAGTGGGCGTAGTACAAACATTTTGCAAATCACCATTATGGTTTACTAAAAATCTAAACTGAGGAGCCACGGCTTGTGGTGCGGCCCGTTTCCAGAACCCTGGGATCCAGACATTGGGGCTGAGTGTGCAAGAGTACCAAAGTAGTGCAGCCTAAGTATAGGGCAATGCTGTCCTCTGCCAACAGAGATTCATGTCAATTGAAGGTCTGACCACCAAACGGAGTCCATTTTTTAAAAAAAAAAACCTTTCTATTCCATCCATTTAAACTTTTTAACCTGAGGGTATAAAAGGTCTAATTAAATAAAGCAATTTACCAAGACTTTCCAACTTGCTGTTCATAAGGATAAATTAGTAAATTAGACAATGTAATATAGTACACTAAAAGGAGGCACACCTACATTACAAGCTGCTTCAGGGCTCTTTCAGTCCAGAGGATTAAGGAGATAATCAGAAAAGTCCAACCTTGTTTACAGAGTTATTGCACAGTAATGGTGAACTGCACAACTATACTCTGCTGAAACTAACTGGTGTCAAATTGAAATCAAATCTGAATGTAATTTCCAATTCTTACTAGAGTTGTATTACAACTTTGCATTTGCCGATAATGGGGCGAGCGAAGCGGGGGACGCAAAGCAGGCCGGAGCCCGCTTAACGGAGAGGGCGAACAGCATGGTGGGGGGGGGGGGGGGGTTAGGAGGTCAGAAAGGAAAGGGGGAGCAAGACCGTGGAGGGCTTTGAAGGTGAGGACCAGGATCTTGAACTGTATCCTCTGTGTGATGGGCAGTCCTTACCTAGCAGCAAGTAGGAACCCGGTTGTTAGTTGATTGATGGATCGCTTTTCCGGGGGTAATAATTCCTTCGAAAAAAAAATTGGTCATTCAATCCACGCCCAGAAATTATAAAGTCGCTACACTTTGAGATGTCTCAAAGACGTGACACGGCGCTGTATCAAATGCAAGGATTATTATTATAGCAGATACAGAGAATGCAACCACTTATTAAAGCCAGCTAACGTTTCACAGATTAAAACAAAGGGTTTGCTTAACATATCATAGCAGATAGCAAGCATATAATAATAATCCTTTGCATTTGATATGTTTCACGTCCTCTGGACGACTCAAAACACTTCACAGAATAGACTATAGAGTGAATTGACTGTATATTTGTGGGCGAAACGTGGCAGACAATTGCACACAGCGGTGTCCCACGAACAGTCATGGATTGAAGTGACCAAATTATCATCGTTTTTTTTTGAGGGATTATTATCAGGCGCGTGGAGTAAGAAATTTGCCCAAGGTTTCGCCCTGCCAGGAATCGAACCTAGATCTCTCGCATGCGAAGCGAGTGCTCTTTTAATAATAATAATCCTTGCATTTGATGTAGCCCTTATCACGAGTGCTCTAACCACTGAGCTACAGGACTCCACAGAGTATGTAGAGGAACCAACAGTAATTTGGTCAGACTACAAATTATCTGATTTGAGAGATGATTGAGCCATGTGAAAGGTGGTAGAAGATGGACATAAAAGTGTACTGGCATAGGATTATAAGTAATGCACAACACAAGATTTTACAAAATCTGCCCAGGCCAGCCAACTCTACTAGACTGAAAGAATGTTTGTGTACAGAGGACCTTATTTGGAGATAAAATCAAGAGCTTCTGCATATCGAACGAGTGACAGAATATAATAGAATTACTTCGCGGCTGCAGAGATGATGTGTTCGAACTGACAGTTTTGCCTCCAGACTTCATTAACAATAAACACGCAAAGCATTACCAGAGTTGGTATTATCCATTGTCTGGGTCCCCCAACCCCTTTCTCAAAGCTACACACACGTTTTACTGCTCTGAACAATGGTGTCTGCACCGTACCATAACCCAGGCACTGGTACAATGAAAGCGTCTGTACATTGCTCTCATCCCCTAACCACCGCCCCTCTCCTGCCACCTCAATGCCTTCTGAATTTCTGAACCTTTTAAGGTCCCACCTCCTTTATGGTTTTGCTCAAATTGGTTACATATTAATATATGATATTCCAGGAATTCAATATACTTCATACAACCTCTCATCCTTTTGCAGGTAATTACATTTGTAATTGTAATTTTGTAGTGACTGTTTGGTGGACAAATGCAGCAGCCAGTTTGCACACAATCGTGAATTGAATAATAATAATCCTTGGATCTGCTATAGGGCCTTGTCACGTCTTCTAGACGTCTCAAAGCGCTTCACTTTACCAATTAATCTTGAGGATTGTAGCAAAGGGCAGGAATGGTAGTGAGTGCTTGCTAACACTACTGTACAACAATCCACAGGCTAGCAAAGAGATAATCTACACAAGCTAATGTATCTTCATTCCTACAGTGAGGGGATAGTGATGAGCATTTAGCAGACAGTGACAAATTAGGCTTTTTTTGGGGGGGTGGGGGGGAGGATGGAAATAGCAGAAACTGTGCATCCGAAACGAGACAAATCTAGGTCACCAATTAAAAGTGTACAAATTAGAAGATACTGAAGGGGCAACGCAATGATAATACCATGACACTGTGCCCTAATGGCATAAGATGTAGGTCAATGGCTGTGATCCAACAACCACAGGTTACTGTCCAGTGTGCAGGGAACTGCAAGAGAAGCTCACAAGGAGAGAGAACAGTCATTAGCATGTAATATTGGTGAGAGAGAGACACAAACACACACAGTTAATATCAAACTATATATAGGTGCTCATTGTTAATATCAGACTAATTAGATGTGTCACTGTTAATATCAGTACACACACACACACAATCTAAAATTCAGCTGTTGTATACACAGGAAAGCCTGGAAATGGGAACAAGAACCTGGGTAAACTAAGGAAACAT